TCATCAAAATCAGATCTTTTCTGGGCATTCTCAATGGCATTTTATCATCAGATACCTTCATCGGACCAAATTGGCAAAGACCTTGAATCAATTGTCAAGCAGAAGTTGATCATCTCCACGTCTCATTCATAGGATCTAGCAGTCAGATGTTTCTTCCAAGTATTTAAGCCAGACTTAGCCAGACAATCTACAACATCTGTGATCTCACAAAAAGCAGATCAGATAAGAGAAATTTGATGGTTGCATTAATCTCAGAGCCTGGACCGATTCTCCTATATCTATTTACAAAGAATCCAACCCAAAAGACATGACTTCATTTGATCTTAGATTTTGTAAAGATGATGATAAAGCTGCTGAGGGATAAATGTTCCAAGAGACTTCAATGATATCCATCAATCCCACCCTAATAACAAACACACATTCTAACATCAGAATCTTGAGATTGAGAGATGGGAAGAGAAAAAAACAATCTTTCTTACCTGATCCAAACCGGGTATGAAGTTTGCCAGAACAGGTAGACAATTTGATGTGCATACCATGAATAGAATTGGTAATGCAATGTGCGTGCGCACACCATCCCAATCAGATTAGAGGTAAAGCAAAGCTTAACTGTATCTGTTCAAAAAGACTGATCTGGATCAGCAACCATGAATCAAGATTAGTGAGCTAAGCTAAAACATAACCTGCAATCAGGGGTGAACTCTACGGAACGCTTGCTAGCAGGTTGAGCAAAGTTCACCAATCAACGGAGCAAGATATGGATCGGTCCTTTCTCACCATACGCTCTACACCATCTTGTCCAGGCAAAAAGCCCTAGTAATGAGACGTGAGTGGCTGTAAGCATGGTATAAGCAAATCCTTGAGATAGAAAATTGGATTCCAATAACATATGCCAGTTGACAGTCCATTGACAGAAGAATACTGGATCAAACTCAACAGCTTTTGAAAGTTACAAGATAGGGTGAGCCGTTAAGAATGAACCTCCCAACAATGTCTACAAAAATGCAAATATAGGTTCCAGTAATCAAATCATAAAGAAATCAGTGATTATAAAGTGAGTCTTGTACTTGAATACCTAGTATTATGAAACCCAGTTGTAATGTCTTCAATAAACCAACAGATTGAAACCAAATGAGACCATAAGCCGGCAAAAACAGTAGTACATACATTCATTTCGATGAACAAAGCAAGACTAAAGGAGTCAAATGATTGAGTATTTCATTATAGTTGTGTTAGAAGATGTAAGCAATGGATATTTACCTGAACCATATCACACTCCAATTCCATTTCTTGCAGATCAGATACCAAAGACTGACGTGAAACACTGACATTTTTATCCCAGCATCAAAGAGCCTTAGTACATAGATAGAATGTAATTGTTTGGAAAGAGCTAGGAAAATCAATGTGTAGGGAGGTATCTTGTGTACATAAAAAGACCCATTTTGTAGAAGAACAGTTAGGCAAGGGTATATATAAGATCAAAAGAGAAAGGGAAGTGACTGACCAATTGACATTGTTTAAAGATTGCAAAGACGACTGATAGGGTGATCAAGTAGATACCAGCAAAAAAGTATTGAGCCTTTATCGGTCAAGTGATATAACACAGTGTAAATGTGAACAAGACCTGCGGGATAACTAAAAATTGGCCAGATTGGAGTCATTAATGATTGGTAAAAAGTTATAAGACTCAAGAACATTTACACAATTGGACCAGTATCTCCTCTTGTCTTGAGGTAATCATGTTCTCCACGTAAATATCCTTCAACCTCTTATATATAAGCTTTCCAATCAATCTTGGTATCTAAAAAGACATCCTTAAAATACAATCTTACCAGTGAGAGAGAATATTTCCTTTATATCT